ATATTACTGGAGTTTTATACAAGTCCTCATTAAAGTTTTCTCTTTTCTTCTTAGTTGAGAATGAAAAATATATTTTAAATTATTTTATAAAATTTATTATTTGATTATTTTGTAAGTAAATTTTTTCACTAATTTTTAACTTATAAGTACTTTTATATTTCTCTGTGTTACTATATTAATTTTCATAATATCGTATTTATTATTATTATTATTATTATTATATTTAATTATTCATACATATTTATATTTATACTAAATTAAATTTAAAATCGTAAAATTAAGAATCCCTTCTTCTTAATTACTACCTATTAGGCATTCGTTAAATATGTCAAAATTTCAATATACATTTTGTTGGAACAATCTTCTGTGTAAAATAAAATAACTTGAAAATAAATTCAAACAAAATAAATAAATAACATACTGGATTTATTTATCGAACCGAATTAAAATTAAGACCAAGTCGAGTGTGTGACACTCTGTCCTTAAGACAGATTCGCCCCGCTACGGTATTTACGGTTGAGTGGCTTCTATCTCCCAGGATACAATGATCTTCACAAATTGTAGTAGCACTCCAAACAATTTGTTCGGCGAACCAAACCTGTGTTCTAATACTCTCTTTATTTTATTCTAAAACTAAAATGAAGAACTAAAATGAAGAATAATGCACCAAAAATCAAAGTTTGGACAATAAAAGGAATTTTCTAATACTGATTTTCGGATGGAAAAATTGGATCCCCAAGACTGCTGGAATTGAAGGGTATATATAGGCACAAATTTTGTCCGAACAGGTACCAAAACCAAATGAATAGATGCAATCTGTTTCAAACAGATTTTTGCCCGTTGCACACGGAACTAATTTCCTTCCAAACAATTTGAAAAGTAGCCGTTTAAAGGACCAAGTTCAAAACTGTTTGTAATAGTTTTTTATTAAACTATTTGAAATATATATATATATATATATATATTAAACTATTGAAATAGTTTAATAAATAAAGGAAGAGGTACAAACTTTAGGAAACCAAAATTTGAATTTAGAATTAAATTAAATTCCCACAATTACAAACTTTAGGAAACCACTTAGGAACCAAAAATTTGAATTTAGAATTAAATTAAATACCCACAATAATTTTTTATTGATGACATCTACACCATTGGAAATTATATCCATTTCGGTTATATCGACTTTAGTAACCTTCTTACTTATTCTTCCTTTGCCTTTGCAAAAATCAGTTCTTAAGAACTTCTCTGGCTTTTCACTATTATTCACTGGTACAGTCCCAACATAAGGAGAGGTTGGCGTAATGGCAATCACCATACTAGTACTGGTTTGAACATAAGTTTGACCAGTTTTAGTAGCCATCAATTCTAATATATAAAACAAAATTATAATTAGAATTTATACTACACAGAAAATTAAACCAAATTCACAGAATTAAATTCGTAAAAATAAAAGAAACAAGAATGTAACTTTTATTTTCCAATTAATTTGAAAATAAAATAAAATTTTATTTAAACAAATTAATTCTACACAGAAAATTAAATTCTGTAAAAATAAAGGAATAAAAACTATAACTTTTATTTTTCAATTAATTTAGAAATAAAATAAAATTTTATTTAACCAAATTAATTCCACACAAGAAAATTAATTCTAGTAACACTTCAATAATTAAAATACTGAAACAGAATTTTAATTAATGAAAACTCAGAAAATAATTTCTAAAACCCAAAATTAATTTCTGAAAAAATTCCACAAAAATATATTCTGAATTGTTAATGACACCAGTATCGTACTACTAGTTGTTGTCAAAGAAAAGAGACAGTATATTACTACTATCTGTCAAATAGCATATAATCACTATTTGTTTTTCCAACCAGAATATTATTTTGTAAATCCACAGAAAATAATTTTCTTCCGAAATTATTTACGAAGAATAAAAAAAAAAGGAAAACAAACGAAAAATTCTATAAACAGAATAATTCGAATCTGTCTTAAGATTGTTGGAACAATCTTCTGTGTAAAATAAAATAACTTGAAAATAAATTCAAACAAAATAAATAAATAACATACCAGATTTATCTATCGAATCCAAATAAAATTAAGACCAAGTCGAGTGTGTGACACTCTGTCCTTAAGACAGATTCGCCCCGCTACGGTGCTTACGGTTGAATGGCGTCTATCTCCCAGGATACAATGATCTTCACAAATTTATAGAAGCACTTCAAATAAATTTGTTCGGCGAACCAAACCTGCGATCTATACTCTCTTTGATTACCCTAAAATAATATGAAGAATAAAGGACGCAAGAGAGCAAAATGAAGGCAAGGAAAATGAATTTTCGGAATCCTCAAAATTGGAATGGGGCTACCTTTATATAGGCTTTGTTGGCACATATTCAATTTGAATAGAAAAGGTATGAAGAAGGGACATAACCCTTCCTTTAAAATAAAGAGACACCATGAAAGGTTTGCACCATTTCATTCAAATTGAGGTTTGACCCTTCCTTTAAAACAAAAAGACACCATAAAATGAAGAAGGGACATACCCCTTCCTTTAAAATAAAGAGACACCATTAAAGGTTTGCACTCTTTCATTCAAAATAGAGTCTATTTCAATTCACAACTACCTCTTTATAAATTTTCCAACACATTTAACATATTTTCCCGTACTTTTATATATTTCCACGCAATCACATCTTAATTAATAATTTGTACATATATATCAATATTAATATTATTAAAGAAAAATTTTGAAAATATAACCCGTGCATAACACGGGTCGAAAACTAGTTGTTGTACGTTTGACTGCATTTCCTGTTTATTCGTGTCTATCTTTACTAGTTACTTTTATATTGGTATATTTATATTTGTTTGTATTATCTGGGGGTATAGATAGTAGGGGTTGGGTGTTCTTATTGCGTTTCATAGCTCATAGCTTTTGCTCTGACATTCAATGCCAAATTCTGAAGAATTCACTGGCAAAGAAGATTTCAAGGAAGAGATCAGGAAGCTACGGCAAGCGTGGACTGGATATCAAATTGTTTATCTCTTATTTACTTTACTTGTAATTTATAGAATTATGGCAACGTTGTTTGTAATTTATAAAATTCTGATGTACAATTATTATTTTTGGATATGTAATGTAACCTTAAAAGAACTTTATATTTATTTGACAGTATATCCCATGATGTCCTTGATTCTTGAGACATCACATATGTACTTATAATTTTCACACTTTATTCATTAATTAGACGAAATTAAATTGAAAGATCAAATTGAAATACTTTTAAACATAGACGACTAAATTGATACAATTTAAATATTAGTAAATATGATAGTGAACAATTGTCTAAGTGATTATGGACAGGATATTTAGGTGTTAGAATATTAGATCTCAAGTTCAAGTTTATAGAAAGACATTGTTCTGCATTGTAATCTAATTACTAATATATTAACCATTATTTTCAACAAAAACACACATTAACGAGGTTTTTAAAATCAGAATCCTTTCTTATTAATCTGATTGTAAGATTACATCGAGAATCGATAAAATATAAAGCAAAAAAAAACATGAATAAAAATGATGTATCCTAAAAAATAAAGAGGGAGACTGTACAATTTTGTAACGAACAGAGTGAGAGAAATAGAAAAAAAAAACCAAAAACAATGTCTTGTAATATAGTAATCTTCAGTTCTTACTATTAGAGCATGTCATATTACATTGCATATGATACTACTAGGACCAAAATTGACTTACTTTGACTATTCAAATCATTCATTTTATATAATTAATTAAAAAAAATTATCTATGCAAAAGATTAAATTGATTCAATATCGATTGTCATACTATTAATTCATTTTTATTTATACAGCAGACATGTTTTTAATAATAAACTGTCCATTTATGATATATATATATATATATGATTACTTATGTCTAATTAATCTAATTTTTTGCATGCATGTTTTTCTTAACTTGTCATACGAGATGAACGATTCAAATCATTAAGATAGATATAAACTGTTAGACCATTTTAATATCTTTTATTTATTTATTTTTTGGTGACTTTTTATTTTGTCCATAAAAGGAGATTATTGGAAGGTCATGGCATTGGTGGTGAGTTAATATTTTAGAAGTTTTGGAACTCTCCATTTTCTCTAGTTTAATAGTCATTATTATTATTATTATTATTATTATTATTATTATTATTATTATTATTTGTGTAATTTGTAAGCTCCTAGTGGCCTATATATTGTTCCTCACATCTACTCATTTCTAGACCAACTCTTTTTACACTTGAGAGATTACTAGCCAAATGAACTTTGGGTCCACCATCTTGCGTAGAGTTAACTTGAATCATACAACAAGTGGTCAGATTGTTGTATCCTGAAGAGGACAAGTCAGAGTTTAGTGACTGCTGCATCGGTATTTGGGTTCTTCCTACTGCAGTGGATTTGATCTTCTTAAAGAAAATGACATATCCGTATCTCAACTTGATCTATTTGTATCTCATTTTCTTTGTATTATTTATCAATAAAATATAATTTTTTGATATTCTCACCAACATAAACTCTACATGCATTTACATCTCTCCTTCCTTGATTTATTCTCCACAAGATCTGCAGCCTCGTCCCCTTCAATCTTCTTGCCTATTAAAAATTTCCCATTCTCCAGACGAATTCCACCTACATCTGATATATTTCCACTAAAGATCGTTCCTTTTTAGGCTTTGATCGATCCATCAACGCTCACAAGCGCCCTAAGGATCGTGGCAAGAGTTTTTGATAGTTTGGTACCCAAAACAGTTGATCTGAAGGCTATAAATTTAAAAATATTATACTGTAATTGAACTCTCTAATTAAGAGATGGATGGAACTGACCTGACTAATCTTGGTTGGTTAGGTGGGAAATAAACTCATTTGTGTCGATTCTTTTTGCGTAGTATTATTGGTCAAAAGCATCACATGCACATATCACAATCACACTCCACTGAGCTAATATGTTGGAGATGTCAAACAATGTATACACGACATTGTCATCATATGATTCATTAGAACAAAAAATTAGCTTCCATTGTTCAATAAAAATTGATTACTATAGAACAAGCATCAGTGGTGGTACTAATTTGGCTTCCTGGCTGAATCTGAATAATATAAAATACACATTCAACAAACAAGAAAATGGGTAACATCTAGTGATTCTCTCTAAAATTTGCAGAGCCAAACACTTGGAAAACACCTGCACACCACCTTCACAGGCAAAACCGTGGCAAAACAATTTGGCCAGGTTGGTTGTCAAGGCAACAATTCAATCCTTCATATACCCGAGCATGTGTGGTATTTTAACTCACCCCATGATCTTGATTAACAAACAATGGTGAAGAAGCTGCGAATTGTAAAGATCGGTTGGCACAACTGCAAGGACCATTCTTCATTATAGACTGGCTACGAACTTTCAATTCAATTCCCATAGATCTACCATTTCATCCTGCATCTTATCTCACCTCAGCACAGGATCTGAACCAAAAACCAGCTCCGCCAAACTGCAAAGAACAATGCAAATGGAGTTTCGTTTTACAGTATTGTCATTTTATTCAAAAGCAAGGTGTCCATTATGTTTGCAAAAAAACAGGAAACAAGTTCTTTTTTTTCTTTTTTTTTTTTGGTGTTTAATGGTGACTGGCAGTGGAGGGACGGTTGCCAGAAGGTCTCTGTAAGTCACGTGAAGTAACCATTTAGTTGCCAGCGAATCATCAGAAAGCGGCTGGACCTCGCCAGAGGGTCACCAGTCGTCGGTTGGCCAGCTATGGATTGATGGCGGTGGCGGCCAGTAGGCGAGAGTGAAAACTTGTCTTGAAAACAAGTGAAAACAACTTTTTTTCTTTTTCAAAATTTTTGAAATTTTGGAATCAATTCCACTTTCTTGAAAACAAAAGCAATATACTAAATAAGTTTTTGTTTCCAGTTTCCAGTTTCCACAAAAAATAAAATTGAAAGCACAAAAAGAAAGCATTGGTAACTCATTTTGAGAGAGAGTGACAGAAAAGTGACATACATTGGTGAGCCAGAACCAAAATTACTGGCATCACTTGCAGATGTATTCTGGTGGTAGCCAACCGAGGCAAAACCGGAGTTGGCTGCTTGAATCGATTCTGGGGAACCCTGGAAGCTTACTGGTGAACTTCTTCCAGGGGACATTACTGCAAATAAAGCAAACAAAGCAGCATATTGCATAAATAGTAGACAGAAGTTTACAACTATGTTGATTTTAAAAGGATCAATTCAACAGTACTTATTAAAGGAACAACAATGGTTTTATAAAAAATATAAATAAATAAAAAAATTAAACAAATCTAGAGTGTAACAGCATAGTTCAGCAAAGGAAGAGAAAAATAATCAAGGTAAAGCTAATTTGACAGATTACAAATGGAAGAATTTAAGATTGGGATATTGGAATTGCCAAATCTGTGAGAAAACACATTCCACACATACATCATTTATCAGAAGGATATATTTCGAAAGTGAACCCGAGGAGGTTCAAGTAAGTAAACAAAAAGCCTCAAAAACAACTTTGACAGCATTCCACATTTGGATATAATGTTTCATATCGAGATGGGCTCAACAACAAACAGCAAACAGCAAACACAGATGCCACTACTTTGGTGACCTAATTTCATGTCAAGTGAAGGAAACATAGCAATTGGACTGTGTGAAGGGCTGCATGATGTGTTGTTACTTTCATTTTGCTTTTTACTTCTTTGGAGGATTCCTTGTCCTCTAGTTTCTTGTAATCTTTGTTTTCATTAATAATAATATTCTTCTTTTTTGTTGTTGCCGATCAAAAATAAAGAAAGAAAGAGCAATTGGACAAGCTAAACTATCCCCTACCAACACAGAACTACAAGAAAAGAAAAGAATGATCACACATTTAAGTCTATGGATAGCTCGGTCTTGGCATGTGAAGCCGAGGTAAGAGAAAAGCAAGGAAAAGCCAAACTAACAGTTAGATCGGTCACTCCAGTTAGTCTAGCATGGCAATGTTATTTCGGTTATATGGTAGTCCGGCCATGGTAAAATCATCTCACTTGGTTTAAGCAGTGAGGGGGGTGTTGAAGGATAAGCATTATCCTTCAGGAGTATGAATTCTAGGAGGACTCTATATGGAGGAGTAAGAGGCCTACTTGGATTGTGCCACACGGAACCTATAAAAGCTCATCAATATCACCTATGGAGAGGTAACACAACTTTGATTCCTGGATACGCAGAGCTTTTGTCTACTTGTCTATTTTGCTGACTTAGGCATCGGAGGGGTTTCCGGCACACACCCGCCGGCTAGCTCATGTTTGTGTTTTCAGGGAGTAAAGCGACAACGTTTGGAGGAGCGCAGACTTGATCAACAGGATTATACGAGAAGGTTTATTTCTTTCCCGTACAATTGGCGCCGTCTGTGGGAAGGCCAGACAAGAACAAAACCTCTTGATCAAGCTTTTCCTCTTTAGAAACAATGACGCACAACGAAGATTTGCCGCAGTCCGCCATCGACGGACAAACACCAGAAGGGGGTGCAAGACATGAAGGCCTACCTTCTATCCCTCCCATGGCCGACTTAGAGCCACAGCAACAAAATCCAAGGAGGGATACAAGGGGGAGGAGGCGGACTAACAGCCCCCGTCACTCTCGTTCACGAAGTCCTGATAGACAAAGGCGAAGGATTGATCCTCAAGTTCTGGAGGACCGCGTGAAGGAGTAAGATGAATTAATAAGGAAGATGGCGGCGGACATGGAGGCCATGAAGCGCCAGATGAAGGGAAAAAGAGTGGCGACAGGAGAGGGGTGCAAAAGTAAGACGCCTCCTCGCCACTCAGAAGACCGTGGAAAGCATTCCACACCATCACAAGCAGAGAGTAGAAGCCTCAGGACAGGCGATACTCAATCTAGATCCTCCAGAACTCGTTACTCTAGGTCTAAGAGAACGAGATCATTGAGGTCTTACACTGAGGGAAGTACCTATCGACCCTCACGCTCGCACCAGACATCATCCAGGCAGACGGAGTTGCCAAAATCGTCCGATTTGCGAAACATGTTGGAAGAAAAGGCACGAAGGAAGGAAGATACTAGGGCGCGCAACCCTCGCAGGGTATCTGCCCTTCAGCGGTTGGCTCCTCGGACGCATGGAAGCGTCGAGGTTGGAATGCCGTCGCCGCGCCTTGCCTACGAACCAACGGACAAAGCATTAGCAAGGCTGCAGACATCGCCGTTCGTCCCGGCAATTGAAAACGCGCCCCTTCCTTCAGGTTTCCTTCAACCCAAATTCACCACGTACGAGGGAAATACAGACCCCTACATACACCTAAGCCACTTCCGCCAGGTTATGGCGGTATATCGGCGAAACAAAACTTTGATGTGCATCCTCTTCCCATCAAGCCTTGGTGACCTAGGCTTAACTTGGTTCGAAAAACTTCCAGAAGGCAGCATAGCCTCCTGGGCACAATTGGCGAAGGCGTTCATCACGAGGTTCATGACGAACACTAAAACCCCGGTGGAGATTGACCAGTTACTCTCCATCGACATGGGTGAAAAGGAGACACTAAGATCCTACAATAGTCGCTACTGGGAGACATTCAACCAGATTGGGGACTGCCCCACCAATCTCGCCATTGCACAGTACAAAAAAGGCCTTCCAGTCGGAAACAAACTAAGGGACTCAATCACCATGACACCACCCCTCACCATGGAGGCCTTGATAGAAAGAGTGCATCAGCACATCATCAGGATGGAAGAGGATAGCGCCCGTGCCAAAACAAAATCTGGCACGACCGCAATACCAGATAAAAAGACCACAGCAAAGATCAACGCGGTAGAACGTCCAAACAAAAATGGACGAGGCAGGCGGGACAACGGAGAAGATCAGGATAAAAGATGGTTAAGAATCCGTACTGCCATAACCACGGTATTCAAGAAACCGATCTATCGGATTCTGAGTGAAATACGCGATGAGCCTTTCGTCAGATGGCTAGCTAAGCTAGGAGAAGCACAGAAAGACTATGACGAAAGATTGTGATGCACCTTTCACAAAGAAAAGGGGCACCGCACTGAAAATTGCATGCCGTTGAGGCAGCATCTGGAGGAGTTGGTGGCAACCGGTCACTTGGATAAATACATTGAAGGAGGGACGCAACCAGCCCCCCAGGACCACAATAACCCCAATGGAATGCCAATTGACGCCCCACCTCAAGGTGTAATCAATATGATACATGGAGTATTCGAACCTGAGCGTGTATGCGAGCTCAGAGGGTCGATCAAGAAGGCTGAGCACTTAAGGGAGGTACTAAGTGCCCAACCTACCATCAAAAAGGGGAGGACAGAAGCCACTAACGTCATGTCTTTTTCAGACAAAGACTTGGAAAGAATATATTGCCCCCACAACGATGCACTGGTTGTCACCCTCCGCATCAAGGACTATGACATCAAGCGAATTCTGATAGACCAAGGTAGCTCGTGTGAGATAATGTACTACGACACCTTCAAACAACTGAAATTGGAGGACAAAGACCTGGCACCGGCTGTATCCCCCCTGATCGGATTCAACTCAATGCCAGAATGGCCAGTCGGCCAATTCATTCTTCCAGTCAGGGCAGGAAGCATGACAAAACAAGTGGAGTTTTGGGTGTTTAAAGTCCCTTCCACTTACAACATAATCTTGGGAAGAACGTGGCTGCATGCCATGCGATCTGTGGCATCATCCTACCATCAAGTAATGCAGTTCCCCAACGAAGTCGATGTAATTGAAGAAGTCTCTGGAGACCAGATTATGTCCAAGCAATGCTTTGTCACGGCTAATGGCAGCCGCGCTGCCAAGGGATATGTTCATTCGGTGGAAGAACCTGAGAGTAATGAACTATTCGCAGATGTCAGCAGAGCAGCTGATCAAAAAGCGGTGGAAGATTTGGTAGAGGTAAGAATAGATGAAAAGAACTCGGATACGTTCTTTTTGCTCAGTTCGTTGTTGTCCAGCACTGAGAGATTAGAGGTCTTGGAATTCTTGACCTCTAATATTGAAGTGTTCGCCTGGACACCCTACGACGTGCTAGGCATTGATCCAAACTTCATCTGTCACCAACTCAATGTCCACCCATCTGCCAGACCAATCAGTCAACGCACTCGCAGATCGGCACTCCACCACGCCGAGATAGTGGCGGAAGAGGTAGGAAATCTGCTAGAGGCAGGAGCTATCAGAGAGGTGCACTACCCCAGATGGATTTCCAACACAGTCGTGGTACCAAAGAAGAATGGAAAATGGCGTGTCTGCGTCGACTACAAGACAGTCAACAAAGCATGCCCAAAGGACAGCTTCCCCCTACCACGGATAGATCAATTGGTAGACCTAACAGCGGAGCACAACCGGTTTAGCTTTCTGGATGCATACAGAGGCTACCATCAGATTTCCATGTACGAACCAGACCAGGAGGTCACATCCTTTACCACTCCAAGAGGACTGTATTGCTATAAGGTCATGCCCTTTGGCCTAAAGAACGCAGGGGCAACATTCCAGAGAATGGTCACCAAGATGTTTGAGCCGTTGTTAGGCAGAACAATGGAGGCTTACATCGACGACATGGTGGTCAAAAGCAAGGACGAGAACGACCATCTAAGGGACCTAGGTGAGATGTTCTAGATTCTGAAGAAACACCAGTTGCGCCTTAATGCATCAAAGTGCGCGTTCGGTATAGGATCTGGCAAATTCTTGGGCTTCCTGGTGACCAACCAAGGTATAGAGGCAGACCCCTCCCAGATCAAAGCTATTCAGGATCTGAAGAGGCCTAACTCAGTAAAAGAAGTACAACATCTCACTGGCATGGCCGCTGCACTCAACCGATTCATTAGCCGGTCGTCAGACTGACTACGACCATTTTTTCAAGCATTGAAAGCCAAGTTCGAGTGGGACGAAGAATGTGACCGAGCTCTGGAAAGCTTGAAAGAATACATGTCTTCTCCACCACTACTAGTAACCCCAATACCTAGAGAAGAACTCTTCCTGTACCTGGCAGTCTCTCAGCACGCAATTAGCGCAGTGTTGGTTCGCGCAGAAGGAATCCAACATCTGCCCATCTATTATGTCAGCAAGACATTGCTGGGTGCCGAAACAAGGTATTTGCTACTGAAAAAACTGGCATTGGCCTTGATGATGGCCTCAAGAAAGCTATCGCACTACTTTCACGCCCACACCATAGTCGTCCTCACAGCTTTCCCATTAAAAGCTTTGTTTGAGAGGGCAAACTTTTCTCGGCGAATCTTAAAATGGGCAGTAGAGTTGGGACAATTCGATATCAAGTTCCAACCCAGAACCGCGATAAAGGCCCAAGCTTTGGCAGACTTTGTCGCAGAATTCACCCCAGGAAGTCATCATATCTGTCCAGTCGACCTGACTGATACAACCAAACCAGGGATAGAAGTTGACGCCGGAATAACGCAACCCCTGATGCAGTATACTCAGTCAGACCCCATGGAAAACCAGAGTAAAGACAGCAAGGAAGAAGCAAACCATGCTACACCAAGCCAGGACTCACCAACAAATAAAGACTTGGTACAATCAGATAAGGAGGGGCAGACAGCAAGCATGGACCTTGAAAAAAACACCAGCAACATTCTTGACCCCACGGCATCATCTGACCCCTCCACTTGCTGGAAGTTGTTCGTTGGTGAGATGTGGAAGCTCTTTGTGGATGGAGCATCCAACCGACATGGTGCAGGACTTGGCATAGTCCTCATCTCACCAGACGGCCTGGTTGTGGAGCAAGCAATCAACCTTGGCTTCCCAGCATCAAACAACGAAGCAGAGTATGAAGCACTTCTTGCAGGACTCAAATCAGGATTCTACATGAAGGCCACCGAACTAATGGTCTACAGCGACTCACA